GATGCACATCACAGCCCGACACAGCAGGGGGGTTCTCGAGGGAACATGAGCAATGGTGTGTGTCTGTGTGTGTCTGTACGTGTGTGTGTGTGTGTCTGTATGTGTATGTGTGTTAGGCCATCCATCTCTGTCCCGTAGTGATTTAATTAGCTCAGAGTTGCCCCTCTTCTTTTCCTTGCACATGCAAAGGCATCTTCACTGAAACAAATTACAAGTACACACACACACAGACACACACATACGCACACCATCTTGAGTTTATGCAAATATGAACTGATGTTGGACGCATTATCCAAAGTCCCATCAGAGGCACCCACCCAGAATCCCTCTGACTCGCTGTTTATGTCAGTCACTGTCCCTTTGCCCTCTTTCTCCTCTGCCAACTTTGGATGCATCTGTCACTCTCCTGCTAGTTCCTCTTTACTGCTCTCTTTTCCCTCCCTGGCTCCTACTCTCTCTCTCTCTCTTTTCTCCCTAATCCCCGCCCCTCCTCTCTGGCCTTTTTCACCCCATCCCTCTGTCTTCCCCTCTCCGTCTCTCTTGAGGGACCGTCTGTGTCTTTATCTGAGCCGGGGCAAGCGACGGGGAGGATGGACATTCCCTGGTGGGTCTCTGTCTGTCTTTGTCTCTCAGGATGAGGATGAGGAGGGGATAGCGGGCATGAGGAGAGGAGGAGAGAGAAAAAAAAAAGAGAAAGGGAAAGGAAGGGCGGGTGAATTGTTTTTGTCCCAAAATGGCAGCAAGCTGGTGCCTAACCAGCCGTGGCAACAGCACATGCTGAAAAGTGCCGCCACCGATTCCTCCCAGGACTGCGAGGTTCTTGGCGTTCCATTTTAAGTGGCACAGTTAAGGTGGACTTAAAAGCTTATTGTGCTGATGAGAAGTGCTGACGTAAGCCTAATGCCTTGAGGGAAAGTCATGTAAAATCTCTTGGGTGCTCCAGCAAAATGCCTAAAGCAGCAGAGAGCCAGCCGGGCGGTTGGCAGCTGTGGTCTTGAAGGTGAAGTTCCTCCACTCCGCAGCAGGCCTCTCGCCGAGCCAAGAGGCCGTCAGTCACCGCGTTACCCACCACATGATTGGCACTCCATTAATTATTGGGCGCCCCGGCGATGCCCCAAAAGGAGGAAGTAGAGTTAAAGTTGGGGGAGAGAGGGGACCCTCTTTGTCGGCCATCTTTGTTCCCTTTGTTAAACGCCTCTGCCCCAGGGCTGCGGGTGATTGACAGCTCCCCAATCAAGTCTGAGGAGCGTCTGACCTGCGACCTTAAACTCTCGCCTTCCCAGCCTTGCCCTCTTCCTCCCATGCCATTTGCATGCTAATTTCTTGTTTACTGAATACACCCTGCCGCCTTTGGCAATGAACTCTGGGCAAGGGCCCCACCAGTGGGACGATTATCACCTGCCAACAAAACAGGGGAAGGGGAGAAACGCAACAGGGGCACAATATTGAGGGAACATTGGGCAAACGCTCTCTTTAGTCCTTGACGTTTGCAGCAAACAAAGATCTGGTTTTTAAAAGCAGATCTTTTCTTAATTAGCACACTCTTACTTTATGTAAATCAGATGTTTAACATATTACGTCTTCTTTTGAGCTCTAGTAGTGGTTAGGTTTTAATTATGCACCAGCATGACAGACACATTAAGTATATACAGACTTCAAGATGGTGGACTACAGCCAGCAATCCTCAGTGAGAGATTTTTGCACATTTATGTATTTTAGTGCCTATTTGGAGTTCCTCCATAATTAATAAGGCTTAATTGGCTCTGTTGGACATGCCAGCAAACTGAGGCCAGATTGAGAATTCCCTTTAACTTGATTGTAATGGAGAGGGGAGTGCAATTCAAATAATGGACTTTTAATAGATTCCACTGACACACTCAAGTGTGAAGGACTAATTTGCCCAAAACCTTGTGTCAAGCTCTCAAAAGTAAGAGTGGAGGGAGGTGGAGCGGGAGTTATCGGATGCCCTTATTGCTTTGGCTCACCATCCTTTCATGTCAGCTCCCATCATCGTTGTGTTGCTAGTCTGCTTCTCCTTCATCTCCCTCGCTCTGCCTCTTTCTTTTTCCAGTGTCCGGTCCAGCAGTTCTACCACCCTCCGCGTTCTCTCTCTGTCGTTGCCGCTGGTGTTCTCTGTCTCTCCTCTAATCCATCAGCGCCTAACCGCCTCCCTGTCTCTTTCTCGCAGCGTCTCTATTTGCACCTTCCCTGGCTGCAGCCTGTGTCCAATTTCTTTTCCTTCCTGCTGTCCATCTGTCGGCCTTTTCTCTGTCTTTCTCACTCCGTCTCTGCGAGGTCTGAGAGGTCATTCCTCACAGTGAGAGGTGTGATAGGTGATAAGCAATTCTGCCTCTGCTGCTGTTCACTTTCAGCTCCAGCTGGGCTTAGTGTGTGCAGTGTGTGTGCATCTATCTGTGTGCTTGTGTGTGTGTGTGTACAGCGTCTACAAGAGAAGAGTCAGAGAGACAGCGGTATCTACCACAGATAGGGCCAGGCTGTTGTGTCACGACACATTAAAGCACGTCATCCATCTAACCTGAGCCGAAGCTGGCCATCAGCTATGGTGATACTCAGGCACACACGTGAATACAATTACAGACACACAGACGCCAACATGTGCCGTCAAGACTTTCGCGCATGCACACACACGTACACCTCTAGCCTAACGAAAAGCAACAGGGGAAGGTGTAAAAGGTTGGGAGAAACAGAGAGAGACGGGGAGGAGAGCTTTCCAAGGGTAGAGGAAAGATTTGGCCAGTGTGTTGTGGCCGTGCAGCAGCAGATAGAGGAGGGATAGGGTATCACTCCCTAACCCCAAACACATTTACGGCTGACACCATGATTAATGAGCCTGGTGCTGCACTACAGGGCCTGGTCCTGGACCCATTAAACCCCCCCTCCAACTGCCCAACTAACTCTTAATTCCACTTCCCCCCACCCCCACCAATGCTGGACCCCTTCCATCTGGACAAAGCCCACCTGGGGATACCCTGGACGGGACATAGAGACATGTACACAAGTGCACAAATCCAAGAATACATGTGTGAATACAGGTATCCTGGAACAAGTGCAACAAGGCTACATCCAAACTACTATGTTTTAGTTTTCAAACTAATTTAATCTCTCTCCCAAAGATATAAGCAGTTGTATCATTTGAAAATGCAGAATTTAACTGCACAAAAGCTGAAAGCAAAGACAAGTGAGTCAGCAACCTCTGTAATGTGTTATCTGTTGAACACTGGTGAGAGAGGACCGGGGAGAGTGTCATGTGATAGGACCCTGATGAATCAGCGAACCCTACGTTGTGACCGAAAAAGACCCAGTCAGCAAGCGCTTGTGAGTTTCTACACAATCTATCCAAACATCTCCATTTCTGCCCGTCCAGACAAAAAAACGCTGCTCTGGAGTTTTGAAACTTAAACTGGGCGAGAAGTGTCTAAACTGAGCTTTAGCAGCTGTAAAACTCCTGGGTAGTGTGGACGGCAGGCACATCTGTAGCAGACTGGATGCATTTTCTAATGAAAACGTTGAAGTGTGGATGTAGCCCAAAAGTGGCCATGTAGCTCTACATACAGAAGGCAAGCATTAAAACACACAACAGACACACAGCTGTGATGGGTAAAGAATTGGTTTGTCCCTACACTCACCCTTTCCCAAAGTCACCCACAACCACAGACGCAGATTTATTGTTACAACAAAGGGAGAAAGGGGACGGCAGAAATGAATGTCCTCTCTGTGTTAGTATATCAGTCTGTGTAAGTGTGTGTGTGTGTGTGTAAATGTAAATGACTGGGTGAGTTGAGCATTATTGCAATTTGCTCTCCAAGATAAGATTCCAAGATATTAAATTATGCACCCAACCATGTCCTCATTTCTGAATTATTGAAAAAGGAAACAAAACTCATGTTTGACATACATTTGGTGACCACGCCCTCCAGGTGGATGATGTTCGGGTGGTCGAACTGGCCCATGATGCTGGCCTCGGACAGGAAGTCCCTCCTCTGCTTGTCGGTGTAGCCGGCCTTCAGCGTCTTGATGGCCACGCAGATCTCTCTCTTGCCCGGCATCTTGAGGCGGCCGCTGCAGACCTCGCCAAACTCCCCTAAAAACACAACATTCAAGCACTTCTGTAAGAGCAGTGGCTATAAATCACATCCAGAAGGGTGTAGGTGAGGGTTTGTGTGCGCGTGCGTGTATGTGCACAGGTTAGAAGGGTTCCACTTTAAACATTGATCAGGGTCTCTAATCCCTCTCTCCCCCTCCTCTCCTCACCCACTGATGCAGAGAGAGGGGAAATTGATATTGATTCTTTCTCTTTATTATTTTGTCATTGGGTGACTTTTCTCTGGCCACAGGAATAGCACAGACAACATATTTAGCCCCCCCCCCTCCATGATTTTTTTTTTTTAATCGCTGACCTGTCTAGAGACCAAATGTTGCTGTCTGGGGAAAAGCTGTTTATTTTTTTGTTTTCAGAGGGTGACACATGAGAGCACACGCAGCCACACACAAACGTATCACTGTCACAGAAATGCTTTTAGTGGAAGATTTGCATGAAACAAATAACAAATATTTATTTCTTTAGGCGGATGCCTTTATCCAAAGTATAATACTCTGTGCCTTACTGCAGAACACACGCATTCATAATGATTGATGAAAAGTGGTGGAAGTCAAGTGGAGTCGCTGGATTTAAAACAAACTGTGGCTCCTCACCGATGCCGATGACTTTCTCGATCTTAATGCAGGAGGCGTCAATCTCCTTGGCAAACTCACGGACAGCTTGGTTCGGGTCCTCGTAGGTAAAGGGATCGACGTATATCCTCACTCCTGAGGAAAGAAGTTTGCAAGACAGGAAGGAAAGAAGTTTGCAAGACAGGAAGGAAAGAAGTTTAAAAAAAAGGGAGAGAAGGGGGTGAAAAATGAAGGTTAATTCATTCCAACTAAACCCCATCTGTTCTTTATTTCCAACAGGGTACACTGCCTTCCTCTGTGGAGCCTCCTCCTCCTCCCTCCCTCCTCCTCCCTCCCTCCTCCTTTCTTCTCTCCAAACCTCACTTCACACTGACTCCGTTGCTTTTCATGTCACTGTGGCTGACTTCAATAAAGATGGGGCTCATTAACTAGAAATTTTTGTGGGATGCAAATACCAACACTGATGACTTGATAATGAGGTGTTTGGAGCATGTTGGGATGTGAGTACATTCACTTTAAAATAGTTTGTTTTCCCCCCCTGTTTTATGGGCTTCATTTGTGGTTTAAAGTGCACGCACATAAACGCACCTGACAGCGCTAATGTTTGTAAATTATACAGAGTGTGTGTGCGGTGTGTTAACGTAGAGTTACCTTGATGTAAGTGCTTTTCTTCATCTGAGTCCTGCTTGGCCTTGCTGTACTTACTCCTTCTGGGGGCAAAAACAGCAGGACGGTCAGTCAGGGCAATGAGTCAGAACAAGAACTACAGCAACTGCATCTTCATATGAAAACAAAAAATATATATATATAATAATAATGATGGAACACAAGTCTCATTTCATTACTTTTGGATTAAACTAATAACCAAGTCTCCTAAACCCACTTACACATCATATAAATCCTGTGAAGAGCCAACCCAATCAGTGATTACTGATGAAGCACTGATATTCTTGTTTGATATAATTATCAACCCCAGAGAGCTCATTACAAAGACAGGAAAAGGGAAACTGTAATGAGATTTTTCTTGATATTGTGCAGGTAAAATATTTTAAGAAATTGGGAGAAAACACTTTCTTGAAAGGTTTTACAGGAGATGACAGCTTATAAAGACAGGAGACCGGCATCGAACCAGCGAGCCTAGTTCTGTCCAAGAGTAAAAAATATTCAAATCTAAAATTTACTATTTAAATGTTTGACCCTGCTCTTGTTTGTGTGAAAAGTATTTTAAGTGTATTCCCCAGGATGTCAAGCTACTCATTTATGTTAAATGTATACTCGCTGTATAATGACGTATCACCAAAGTTCTCATATCTAAGATTGTTGATGTTTTTTAAGTACATTAATTATCTCAAAAAGGTAAAAAAATTTAAAATATGCGAAAAAAATACATGCAGAACAGATGCAAAAAAAATTTGTTTTCCATGTGTCAAAATTAACTAGGGACATTTATATTATTTAATTTGTTACAAGACTTTGCTGATTAAGGTTTTACATTCAAAATATATGTGCTTTAAACCAATAATATACACTGTATGGCAGGATTCATCAATATGAGAAAAGGGCAAATGACTTACTTACTAAATACTTAAGTTACTTTGCCGCTCATACTTTATATATTATATATATATATTTTTTAAAGCTTTGTATTTGCTTTTTTATTTGTCTTGACTATTTCTATTTTAAATCAAATATGAAATCAATCAGCACTGTCGGTTTCTGAAGGGCACAGAAAAAACAGAGTCAAGAAGCCGGCGGGTATAAAAGCCATAAATAAATCCAAGAGAAGATGCACTTAAATCCCTCTGAATCCCTCAGGCAGCCTGACACCTGTGCTGATATTGATGTGTCGGGTCAGTGGTGGCAATGACCAGATGTGCGAGACATTGTCCTCCTCTATGCTTGTGTAATGATGGTAAACGAGGACGTGATTACAGTCCCTCCCCACAATCACAGGATGGCTGCAGCCGCACAATGACAGTGGCCGTCACATGCATATAAAAAAGGCAGAGACAACCACCTGCTTGGCTGGGGGAGAGAGGCAATCACATGGAAACGAGAGGACACGTACACACACACACACAAGCAGCAGCCCCATTCACTTCCCATCATCCTCAGCAGCAATACACACATGCAAACAGTGATTTGGTTTCCATATGAAGAAGCACACTCACAGGCATAAAGGGATCAACGGATGCTCAAAGACAAAGCACACACACACACAGACACACTCAGGAAGCAACACACAAGCCATTAACACTCCCCTCCCCCCAGTGCCACCACACACGTGAATCTACACTTTCCTTTTAAGGATGCGTGCACACACACACCCAAGGGGGGGAGTGTGGATAACACCCAGAGGTGAGGCAGCCCCATCTGCATGTAATCCCATTTCTGTGACGGTGCTTTGTCCCGCTCGCTGGTTAACACACTGAGATTGGGTCACTTGCAAATCCACCTGATGTCTCTGTGCTGCTCTCTCTGTATTCTATTTCTCGCTTTTCCTCGCCCGCTTATCTCATTGCCCACCCTCCTCTCCCTCGTTCTCTTTTTTTCCCTCGCTCATTCTCTTCACGGCAGCGGGTAAGGCGCAGCGGGAGAAAATAACTAGCGGCCCAGATTACAGCCACTCGCTGAGATAGAGGCAGAAGGATGTGGTGATGTGCGGAGCGGGGATTGATGCAGAGGACAAGGAGCGAGGGGTCACTGATTGCATCTCTTCAGCTGTCTGAGCTGTCAATCACGTCGCCGGTGTGGCGAGTCATCACTCGTCCGACGTGAGCGAGTTGGACTAGCTGTCTGGCTGAGTGTGTGTTGGTGTGTGACTGTGTTTTTGAGTGACGTCCATCTCCTGACAGCTACTTTTCCCGTCGCTAAGCAAGACATCCTTCACCTCCAGCGGGGGAAAGTGGTAGAGACAGGAAGCAGAAGGGACAGAGGGATAGAGGGAGGGATGAAGCTCACCTTCGGCTGATGACGAAAGCACTGATGAGGATGATGAGGAGGACCACGCTGCCCACCACTGACACCAGTAACACTGTGGAGTTGGCCCCATCGCCAATAATGGGAGCTGGGACTGAGGACAAAGGAAATAACAGAGAGGAGAGAAAAGAGAAAGAGAGAACAGTTGGACAAAGTTAAAATCATTGTGCTTCATCGAGCCACAAACAATGTTTGTCCTTGTTTGTTCTTCCTCCATTTAACAATTGTAAATTCTATAGTGTTGCCGGGTTCCTTGATAAACAGTGACGGCCCTTCAGGATGTGAGCTTGAACGTGTCATTATCATTGCTATTGTCTCTATTTACATTACAAAGGGGACACCAGGGTTTACAGTGCCTCTGTGTGGCCCTCTACAACAATATCTGTCAGTATAGTCAACACAATGTGGAATAACATTTAATTAGGGAAATCAGAGATGTCAATAAAAAGTAAGCAGGTCTTCAATTTTATGTTTTCTTAATAACTAATATTCCAGAGGCAGGGCCAGGGGCTGTTGGCCCCAGCTGAAATCTGATCACTCATGAAGTGCCCCTGTCAGTAGTCTTTTTAAAAAACTTGTCAATTAACAAGTTTGGTGGGAGCATTCAAAGTTTTTGGCTTTGAAACACTCACAAAGAAGGCCACTGATTGGAAGCAAAAAGTAGTTTTCAGCAGCTTCTAACTAAAAATGTCAGAAAAGGTATCATTCTTCAAAAACCCATAAGTTGACGCATCCAACTCATCGCAAGTTGTATAACGGAAGCTATCAGTTGCCAGTAAAATGCTGGAGCACAATATCATTTATCTTTTATAGATGACAGCAGCATTGATTAATGACTCTACAATGAAAGAGACGGACTTGTAAAAGATGCTATCATTGCAGGGTTTAGGAGAAACGGACGTGAGAGAGCTGGCACTGAGCCGCTCCCTGGCTCTGCACTGTTCTGAAGTCATTAAGTTAAGTAGAGCAGAGGCGACGTGTCTGAACTCACCGGAGTTGGTCATGAACTCAAAGGGCCCGCTGAAATCCCCGTAGCCCGCTGCGGTGCGAGCTCGCACATGGAACACGTAGGAAGTGAGGGGGGTGAGGCCCTTGATGTCAGCGTTCCTGGATGATGTTTTTATGATTCGGTAGCTTCTCTCATTCTGGTCCTGAGGAAGGCAGATGATGGTGAGACAGACAATCAGGGGTGGTGTTTTTGCAATGTGTTGAAATGCATTTCATCAGCAGAGACTCACCTTCTCGTAGTACTTGACTTCATATTCCAAGATGACCCCATTGGCTCTATCCGGTGGCTGCCAGGACAGTGAGATGGTGTGTCTTGTGATATCCTTCCCTTGGATGGACGTCACTGGAGATGGAGCTGGTGAGATGATCAGAGAAGAAGATGTAAAAAATGTTTAAGTCTGCTGCTAACTCCACGTCCTCCATGTTTCTTTCAACCTTGGAGACACTGAGTCTGTTTTGTGTTGCTCTCCTGATTCCCCCACTCTTTGCTCCTGCTAAGGCACAAGGCAATCACTTCCATTTGTCTACACATGGCTTCCCTTCAAAAGATGTGGTGTCACAGAGTTGTGTACACGCAGCTGAAGTATGTAGAGCAATACTGATGTTCTTATGTACCAATATATCTGAACTGATGGTTTGTGTCCATAAACAGATCGAATTTCCTCTCGGCTGATGCTAGCATCTCGACAAGGTGGCAAAATGATGTCCAAGTTCGTTTTCTGCAGATTCTCAGGTCACCCTGATCGCCACAGTCCGCCTCAAAACGCTCGGAATGAGCTCACCGCCTTTGCTTTTTTCCTTTTCAACAGAGCAAATCAATTGGTTCTCATTAAAGCTCCAGTGGGCGATCTTATCTCGAGCCCTTTCTGCTGCAGCTGATAATGAGGCCATATTTCAAGCAGCGTTGCTATCTGCATTCAGACGCTTTTAACATGTGAAGGTTAAAGCACAGATAATGGCTTACACCCTTCCCCTCCCCTCCAGTGTGTCACTGCTGCACAAATCAAGCCTCTATCTTCAGGGATTGTGACAACAACAAAATTGGATCATACACACTCAATGCTACAAAGAGAAATCCATAGACGTAGGAGAGATAGAGTTGTAAACAGAGAAACACTCATGTACAGATTGAGTTTTCGACAGTCAGGAAGATGAATGGGGACAGGTGGAATTATAGACCATCAACAAAAGGCCACATAATTGAGCACACAACCCAGGTTCAAGAGGACAGGACACAAAGACACTGTGTACATCGCCAGCATTTTGGTGTTTCTACCATCCGTGATATCCCAGAGGGAGTTTAGATTCCCCAGTCACGTTCCTACAAGTCCACAATTTAAAAAAACCAAACCAACAAAGCACCAGACCCGTAGAAAGAAATTAAAAAAATTCCATTGATGACCAGGTAGCATTTCATTGTGGCATCTGCTCTTACAAGTTCACAAGGAGAGGATCTTTGACCCCTGATACTCAGTGGTACTGTAAACTCACTCACTTTAGGCCATCTGCCTTTTAAAAAATTACAGTGGGATGATTAATGAGGGGTTCGCGGTCCACCGATTATGATTGGATTATCTATGACATTATATACATTCTCATCACTTTGACCAAGGGCTCCAGGGAGCCTAGCCTTCAAGCTAACGCTAAGAAAACCCTGCTTTTAGCTGCGGATTGAGTTCAAACGGGTCTGGAATTCAAGCACCAGCCATGGATAGAATTTCAGAGGGGGTGAAGAGGGGGCAGGAGGGGCGGAGGGGTTGTGACTGGGAAGGTTGAGATGGAGATAGAGGGATGGGATTGCAGACGTCTCTTGGTAAATAGATTAACCCAAGGTTGTGTCATCCTGTTGGCCTAATGTGTTGCGTCTCCGTTAAACAATTAGATGGCAGCCATTTGTATCCCTCCGATCAATCTTACCCAGCAGCGAGAGCCAATTTGAAGGCCCTCCTGGGGCTGACCGAGAGCGCTCCGGCTCAGAAAGAAAACCCCTGAGGGGTCTAGGCCTTCGTTTCCCCAAGGTAATCCACACATCCATCTTTCCTCCCAAAGATGACAGATATGGCGTTTTAATCGCATTCCCCTCCTCTTGTTGCGTTTTTATTTTCCCCTCGTCTAATGTGAGGATAAAGATGAGTGATTTTCTGAGTGGTCCTGTCTGTGGTTCACTATGTGAGAGGGCAACCCAGACACAAAACAAGTAATCCGTCAACTTTTATGGTTCGTCATAGACAAATTAGTCTATGCCTAAAAGACAAGTTTAAAATACTGTCAAACTGAGGAAAAAACTGATGCAAGAGTAAATGTTTATTCCAAAGAGAGAAAAGTTTCACCTGAGGCTGTGATTTAGGCAGACCATGAGTTTGGTATATCTGTATATGAATTTAAAAATGTGGAGCATATCTGTAATTACTTTCTGTCTCCTGAACGTGTGGCCTTAAAATACTGGTGGAATAACGAGTGTTGAGGGCAATTAATATTCAAATCTCATTTCAGAATTGTGCACTCCAAAAAAATCTCTTCACAGCCACTTGAACAAACACACATGAGATACACACGGACACACATACCCAGCAACAAAGTGACCTCATTACACATACAGAAAGATAGAAATTCACACAGACAAAAATTCACCCAGTGCCATTATCTCACAAAGACAGCGAACACTGCAGTCATACTACCTATGCATACATTACAATGAGTAAACCCAGGCAGAGGGACATGAGGTTCAGGGTTTGGTTTGATTTGATTTGAAAAATCGCCCTCCCAAGAGAATAGTGGAGGCTGTCAGGAATTATTTTGTTCTGCAGGGAACACAGATTGTTGAGTGAGCAAGTTTGTCTTTGCGAATGTGTTCGTCACAAATTATTTGTGCTGCAAGGAGCGGCTGTGGTTGGTGCGAGCAGTTGTGCAGAATATGCAGTCGATTACAATCTGACATTAAAAGAGACAGGGGCCGCGGTGCACACATGTGGTTGCCAGATTGGAGCCTGGTTGCCAGATTGGAGTAACTCAATTTTGCTGCCGCCAAGGAAAAATAGCCAAAGAGGGAGCCGTTTTTCAGTGTGTCGAGAAAATGGCTCCTGCGTACAAGATGCCCCCCCCCCTCACACACACACACACACCACCACCACAAAGAAAGCCTGCTTCCATCTCTCCGAACACATTTCCACATGCACGTCTGTCCGGTACAGAGACATGGAAACTCACACACACGTGTGCTGACAGACGCGCCCACACACACACTCTCTCATGCACTAATTCACTTTTAGTCACCTAAGCCTGCCAAGTATTTTGTATGGAGACATAAACACCTTTCACTCTGCCTCTCTCATTCCCTCTCTCTCTCTCACACACACACACACACACACACACACACACACATAGAGTGCTTGATCCCATAAAAGGGGAAAAACATCCATTTACAACCAGGGGTCAGTTCAAAGCTTGGCCATCCCGCCTCTCTCCCCTCCCTTTCTAGATGTAGTCCGGGTGAAGGGGTTACACCCCGGCTTATTTACGACAGTGAAGTTGTTCATGGCGAGATGTAGAGTCTGACCTCCTTGTTCACAAATACATCCCTATATCACACGTGCATACACATGCAATCAGCAAAACTCAAGTTTTGATTTTTTCTACTCGCATTTATTTGTTTCAACTAAATCCATTCTCCTCTCACGCAAAGCTGATGATCTTCCCTTCCAACCTGCCAACCTACTGTAGCTGAAATTTGAACTTTTATGGAAAGGCAGTGGCGGGGGCGTATTTCCACAGCATTTAAAAATCCTAATAAATCTATCATAATAAATGTGTAATCCACAGTGTCTGGATGAGGGGAGGCGATACAGAGAGAGGGACAGCCGCAGATGACTGGCTGGATTACCAGCGGCTGCAACCAGAGCCTCCAAAGCCCCTACCGAGCATTAGCAGTAAGAAATCCAATCAGTCTGGAGTTATTCTCTTTAACACACATACACCGACACACATTCACAAATTAGAAGACACACACACACACACACTCATGGAAGACGTTGTTTCAGGGGGGAAATGCATCCCATCTATGAACACACATTTTAAGTAAGTTCTGCAGATGTGCACACACTGTAATGCACTCTCTAATACTCCAGCTGCAAGCTTCACGTGACTAATCCAGGGGAAGTGTTTTGAAACATGCAACAGTGACGAGCCAAAAGGCAACATCATCTATATCTTACAAACTGAAGTCAGCAGATCTGCCTCAAGCAACCTCCAGGGCACATCTGTGTGTGTGTGTATGTGCATGTGTGTGTGAGGGAGTATGCACTTTGGATTTTTTGCACAACTGCATCAGTGTGACGCTTTTCACAAAGCCTGTTGAAGGCTCGAATGTGAATTTTAAATCTTTTTATCTTTATATTTAAGATTTAAATTATATTCTGTGTAAAAGATATGAACAGCGAGGTAATTACTGTTCTGCCATCACACCCGTCTCGGTGGGACAGACTCCAGTTTTGTTGTTTTGTTGAACGTCACACCTCTAATTCTGGAGTGCCATCATGCTAGCTTGTTATGTAAAGCCACACACACGGTTGGCAGTATGCCGGCTTGTTTGGGTTTAATTTAAACAAGCAATGACAGCACAACAAGGAGTTTTCTTCACAGCAATATAGCAGGAACTCTATATAAAAAGAGCAACTGACATGCTATTAGGAGCCCTCGGCCCGGACTCAAGGGTGTGCTCCATTACAGCTCTCGCACATGTCTGTCTGGCAGGACTCTGCGCTCTCCCACAGGCAGCACATCCATTCATCTCTATCTTGCTGACCCCAGCTGATAAATCAAGCCACTGTGTCCTTAAATTGCCAGTCCAAGCCCTATTCAAGATATTCACTCTTCCCAGGGATGGAAATTAGTGATAAAAAAAAGTGACACAAAGGAGCACTTAGCTTACCACCCAAGAGCGGAGCAATAAAGAAGACCAAGGTAATGATCGGCTATAAGCAGAGGAGAGAAGGGAGGGATGAAGAGAAAGGGCCAGGGTCATAAAATCCATTTGCACAACAACCAGTTACAAAATGGCTAAATGACAAAACAACAGGAGGCTTTGAACGCAACCCCGGGCTTGATGGCTCCTCTCCAGCTCCGGAGGAGAGGCTGTATTCATGGGCGTATTCTACCAGAATAATTACACGCACATACACACAAACGCACACGATCCAGCAGCATTTGTAATGAAGCCTCCACAGATCAATACAACTCATCTAATTCATTAGCTCGAGAGCTAAATATAGCGCGTTACCCCTATCTTCAGTCTAAGCTTCTCACGCCTAATTATGCAAAACTCAAGTGAAATATTGCAGAAAATCATTTCCCACTGCAGAGAATCTATCATCCTCTTCAGTAATCACCCAGCCTTCGCCCAAATTATTCACAGCTTTAATAAACATGTTTTGACATGGAGATTGCCCCCAAAAAAAGTACTTCAAGCGCTCAGTGTAACGAACCTGTGCTCTGCATCAAACATCAGCGTGCACACACAACTACAAAGCTTCTCCAGCATCCACTCTGTCTCTCACATGCATGGGTGAGTCAAGAAACTAACTTGGATTGGAAGCAAACCACGGGAGACGTCCTAAATTTAGCCGACTAAGTGATAGAATCTGAGGATGTGTCCGGATATATGAAAATAATTGATGAGGTCCAGGGGAAGAAGGCCATGTAGCAGAGGCGAGTTCATTCTTTTTCTTTGTCAGGAGACTGGAGAATGCATTAACACAGAGAAAACACACAGAAACATCTCTTTGGTGTAAAGGGGCTGTTGTATTCAGTGTCTCCTATTTGTTTAAAACTCTTGGAATGATGATAGTCAAATCCATATATCTTATCTAACAACATATAATTTGCAGCCTCTCTTGGAGATCCAACATGACATAATTGATTTGGATGAGAAATATGTTGCTATATTAATATATGAGTCCAAACAGTACTGTCTAATTCAAGTCAGATCAACATAACACTTGTTTATTATTGGGAATCAATCAATGAGAAGCCTTTAACCACCACTTTGACAGTGTTTCCCATTAATTATCTAGACTGTGGCGCCCAACCATATTCAAACTTGTCCCGCCACAGTTTCACAATTCACACATTGTTTTCTCGTCTCACAATGACATGACAGATCTTTAAACTTGGTGATTGCATCGCTATTTGCCGCCTGCTAGCTCCTGCTGTCGCTCTACCATATGCTGGCACTACTGCAAGCTACCTTTCTTATTGACTTACCGGCCTGGTTGGTGGTGACGGTCACCGACACAGCCTGCTCTGGCCCTGGGCTCTGAGGCGAGACTCCGTTCACTGCCCACACCTCGAAGGTGTAGTTTGTGTGGGCCTGCAGCTCGTTGATGGACACCCTGGTCCCCTTCAGGCTCAGCTGCTGGGGGCTGAAGTGGATGCCATTACCGCAGGGCTGACAGCGACGGCCATCGGGCCCGCAGCGCTTGCACACCACATTGTATGACAAGTCCTGGCGCCCTCCTGAGCTCCGGGGCGGGCTCCACTCCAGGTTTACGGAGGTCTCGTTCACATTGGAGATGAGGTGGACAGGCGCAGACGGAGGACCTAGAGGAAAGAGTTGATGTTATTACCATTAGTGGTAAGTGGCAAGATGCTACGCAGGTACAGACTAACATTATTAAATATCAAGGTTATTATGAAAACTGGAGAGTGAAACATCTATATCTGATAACTGTTGCTGACCAGAATATTAATAATACTTCTGGTAGAGTCTATTTCCATATATATATATATATATATATATAAAAATATATAATTGACTGGGTTGTCCCTTGGTCGAGACCTGAGGCTTCTCAAATTGCCTTTTAATGTCCTGTCCGTTACAGTGAGGGAGGGTCTGGTTTCACTTCAGTTAATCCAGCACGTTAACTGAAATCCAATAGGGCAGCAGATTTCTTTCCCATTCATATGTGGAATCAGCTGGAGGTGGCAGAGAGCCTGAGCCCGCTGCTAACAGCAGGGCCTTTATGGCACCCACTCAATAACTTTAGACAAAGTTTGCTTTGGACCCTGTTATTATGATTCTGCTTTGATGTAAAACCTACGCTGCAGATCTATGTGGGAGCCGCTCCGCAGATATGTGACGCAAACTCCCCTGCTCATCAATCCCACTTTACATGTCAGCTCTATTGTAATTAATGTGTTTTTTGCAATGCTTTCAAACATAAGCAGCGATAATTGACTTAACTCTCCATCCCTCCCTCTCTCTCTTTCTCCCTCTTCTCTCCCCGTCTCGCTCTCTCTCTCTCACTGACTAATGAAGCGCATGCGAGCGGGCTGGGGGGGATCGATGCAGGGTGAAATATGAAAGCTAGTCAGTCCACACACGATTCATTTCACAACGGAAATTAATTATCAGTGTTATTTTTGGAGGAGCAGAGAGGCAATGAGTGATTTCACAGAGACACAGAGAGCAGCGGAGGGGACAGGGGTGTAGCAGTGCGTGCACACGGTCACCCGAGGTGGAGTAAGTGCACTTTTATGCACGGGCGTTGCCGCATTAATGGAGATGTGGAAGTTTAGTCACATCCATCTTTATAAGACTCTTGTAGTACATGTGCATGGACTGAATGAGCGAATGTTGAGGCGGAGAGAAGAGAATCACTGTCGGTACATCCAGAAAGAGTATGAATGGATGGATGGATGGATGGATAATGGCAGGTGAGGAGTCTCTAACTGGAAATGACCTAAAAGTTCACTAACAGCACAACAACCCAGGCCTGGTAATGAAAGGCTGCCGAGCACTCAGTGTTAAAACAGTGTTAATATTTGCACCACTCAGATTTCCCTCCCAACTGCAGCCTTCAATGAAAACCTATTAATAAATTCTCATTAAATCCTTCTTCCTGCTTTTCCCCCCTCCTCCCCCACTTTTACTCCCTCTCTCTTCCACCTCTTTCCCTCTCTCCACTTCTCAGACGGTGGGAACACGTTACAGATGGGGTTTCTAAAATAAGGTGCCGACACTCACTCATCATTATAATAGTGTCTTTGTCGGTGTGCTAGGTTCAACCAGCCTAAAGTACCTTTTAATACTCAACCTCGTGCCACATGAAATACTTTAAAAAGCTATAATTTAGTTAGTTAGCTGACTTAGTGAACTACAAACCAGGCCTCTCATCTAACTCTTCAGAAAACAGATATTTCTTTCAACAGATATTTTTCTAAAGCGGTAGTGTGCCTTAAATGTCAGAGTGATGTCTTCACTCATGAGTGTGTGTGTGTGTGTGTGGGTGGGTGTGTCGGCCTACAATCACCTCACAAGATAATTTTGTTTGATTGTTGCTATGACAAGAGTTGCAACAGTGCTTTATTACTTTATGACCATATGGAGTCTTTAACACATTCCACCAAGTCAGTTCGTTTCACTACATTACACAGAGAGAGAGAGAGAGAGAGAGACTACCTTTGTATGTACCTGTCGCTCTCCCAGAATGAACCAGTGGGAGCAAGGGAGCGTGGGAGAGCCGTCAGTTGTGAGTGACACCCCATAATTAATCCTGAGAGAGAGAGAGGCAGGGGAAGGAGGGAGCACAACGCTCAGATAACCTTCATACAACGTTACCTCAAACGTGGCCTTAAAAATTCAAAAAGCCCTTATGGGTGGAATCCAGAGGGAGACTGTGGAAGTTTCTCCAGAAAAAAAGTTCTCCTTTTCCCCTCCACTCCTTTTCCGTTCCTTTATGTCCGTGCAATTTGCTCAGAGCCCCATTTCTTCCCTTCCTGCCACGCCTTCTTTAATTGGTCTTTCTCAATTTACTTCACTACCATTCTCCATTTTCCCCTCCCTCTCCTTCTCTCAGCTGTTTCTCCTCCTTTCATCCCTCTCTCTTTCTTTCTCCTGTCTCTTTCCATCAGCTGAGTGTTGCGCAGGGCTGAGGTAGTGAGCAGGCAAAGTTGGCCTGAGCGTCGACCCCGCCATTACCATCCGGCTGGGATTCATTCAGTGCACCCCCTCGAGCCCTCCCCGCTCTGCGTTCATTCCTCGCTCCGTCCCTCCCTCTTCCTCTACCAAACCGCCGCTAAGAAAACTGGGGAAAATCTGACAAACACATCAAGAGGCAAGCGAAACCCCAAAATGGAGAACACCCCCTCCCTATAACCTGAGTGCAGCTGAGCAACCGACTCCCATGGGTGTCTGTCCCTGGTCCTCATTACCGTCTGTTACTGTGAGTTATTCATGTGTACTGCTGATTTTGCCCTAATAATTCTGTACTAAACTGTATGTTTATTGCATTTACCAGATGTCCCATACCTGTTATAATCTGTAATATCTGCCTGTGGTACACGATAACTAGATGCTCAAAGGTTAATTCTTTTACAGTTGTTTATGGCTCTTTGGATGAAAATGAAGTAAACGCACAGGTTAAAAAAAGGTTTCGTAAAGAGGTATAAAAGTAACAACAACACAAGTAAGATAAACTAGGCAGCAGGAACAGTGGAGGCAAGCCAGGAAACATAAAAACAAGATGGAAACATAAAAAATAAACCATAAAAATCTGTCAAAAGGTTGTTACAGCGACGACCATCCACCAAAAATCTTTTTTTAAAGTGATATAACTCATCCACCCTGCCAGGATCCTTGGGCAGATTGATCCAAGGTGTGGGAGGGAAACGACTGGTTGTCTCTTGTTTCTAATTTAGAAAGCGTTTAGCCTTTGGATCAAACATATAGGGCTCATTAATCGAAGATCAAAAGAGCAATTGCTGCAAACCAGCAAAAGGCAAAGATCCAAGAAAGGTACCGACAGATAGAAGAGGACGTGGAATAACGGGGCCTGCACACAAACAGTCGCACAATGACAGAATTACACAACATCGAGGTTTAATCATCTCCTTGCCTCACTATACCCCAAGCTACGGGAGGAAAAGCGTTTTCAATTACCTGCGCACATGCACACACACACACACACATGTTCCCCAATTACCAGACACTGGCTCTTTCCCAGCCTAATATTGAGCAAGTCAAACTGGCAAATGACTTAAAGAGGTATTTTTTTTCTTCATCTGTTCTGTTCGTGACTGTGAGTGGGTTTTGAGAGACTGAAAACAAAATGTGAACGAGTGACAGCTGTAATTACAGAGCTGTAACATGAAGGTGAGAACTTTTTTCACCCTGTCGTCTGCAAGGACAATTGCAGACGACAGGGTGAAAGTTCAGAGATCAAATGATGACCAGCTGACGAGGCGAGGGTCGGTGAGAGTCGGGCTAATGTTCGCTGCCGTGCAGTCAGGAGCGCATGCAGTGGAAAAGGCAAAGAAGGCTCCTATAAAACCAGCCAAGTAATGAGCTTTGACAGCTGTTGCTTGCAGCAGCCATGCTCAGATGCCTCAGTGACTAACAGGACAATGGGGATGAGCTCCAATCCCTTCCATTAAATTAGGGGTTGTAACTCAATACATTAGTGATGTGACAAAACAGTCAGGGGATGAGAGGGGGACTTAGTCATTGGTCTCATGTTTTTATTTTTAATTATCAGAGGATTTATCAAATTTAATTAAAAAGTACAACCGGGGTGAAGCTTGTATTGAAGAATAAATAAAATAAATAGAGAAATTGCTTTTTTCCAGTCAGGAGAGAAAGACAGATTTAATTCTTCAAATTGTTGCAGGAGTATAAAGCTAAGAAAATATGTTTGTAAGTCAAATTAATTTTCACTTTTATTTCACTGTCACTTTTATACAGGTCTGATCCCTTTAAAAAAATAATCACATAACATGTGCAGAAAAATCAGGTTAATAATGAAATGATGAGACTACTGTATTTAATAAGACCAAGAAGTCCTGCACTTGCTCTAGACCAAGACCAATGTAAATAATATTTATTTTAATTATTGAAAAATCTGAGTTATTTTCTTGATGAAACATTTAATGCTTGTCTATAAAACATCAGATGTTTTTCACAGTTTTCTAGAGCCCAAGATAACTTCATCAAATTTTCTTCACTAACAGTCCAAATCTTAAAATATTTTAATATATAAATAAAATAATATAATATTATACATTATAGTTAAATATAAAAAAGAGCTGTAAATTCTTACATTCTAAAAACGTTTGTATGTCACAAAACTTTTCACAGATTTTCTCTGTTACATTTAAATAAATGTAACGTAAAATTGCACCAAGATAAAGAATGATTGAAAAATATTAGTAATTTTAATTGTAAAGAAATGTGTAATTGTAAATAAATTGCATAATTTGTTGACTTAAAAAAGTGGATTTAGGGTTGACTAAATATCTTGGATTATTTTTGATTCATCAAGTATTTGTATTAACTGAGTATTTGATTAATCGAATCATTGTTGGGTCTGAGTTCATTCAGAGTCAACTATGAGCTAAGAAACTTAACCAGATGTTTTAGTCGTTAAGACTGAGTCATGACAGATACTCATACACAAACGTCTGTCATATACATTTTCCAGTGAAATCAGGGACTTTTTGTCAGTTTTTCTTTTTTATTCTCCGTTTGCGTATCTTTCTATTGGAACGAATTCCATGAAGAACTGAGAAAAAAAGACGATGTGTAACTATGCAGCAAGATTGTGAAGAGTGTTTGTTGTCATTGTCATGGTGAGTCAGGACTTGATGATAGGATGAACCAGATAAACCAGAGGTTGACTCAGGCAGGCGGACAGAATAAAGTCGAGACACACAGAGATACTGTGTACAACTCTGAACATCTTCCTTAAGCTCCATTCACTCGTGCATTTGGTTCATTTTACTTTCCCCTTGGCTCCTTAACCCTTTTGTCTCTAACATCTTATTCACTCCCTGCATACGTCCCCTGCTTTCCATTTGCCCTTATTTTTCCACCTTTTTCTGCACCTCCCAGTGTCTCTGTATTTTGTCTCTATTTGTCTCCCTCCATTGTTCTCGCCCTCCTCTGTTGTTTTGCAGTCTCGACTGAATCTGGGATGCAGCGGTTTAATACCCTTATTAGTTCTCTGTCACCATGACTCACTAAGTACCAGCTGGAATTAAAGACACCTATTAAACCCGCAGCCGCCTGCTTTGTGTGCGTGTGAGGGGATAATTCAGGTTGCATGAGAGAGAGAGAGGGACATTCAGTGTGTGTGTGAGAGAGAGAGAGGGTTAACCCAAGATAGATTAAGCTGTTTACAAATCACTGTAAACCATTGCTAACACAGCTGTATGCCATGTATTCCTGTGCCACATGTGGGTGTACTTACGGGTGCAGGGCATGGATGCCGGGTCTGTTTCTGAGCGAAAGTATCCCTTGTCGCAGACACAGGAGGTGGATACCTCCCTGACCGAGTAACTGTGAAGTGGACACTTTGAACAGAGTCCATCGGTGGCCAGGGCCCGGTAGTAACCGATCTTACAGGCTGAAAGAGAACACAGAGAAAGGGAGGTGTGGTTAGACGTGATATCAACATATGCAACAGCATATAATTAGCTGGGAATTGCTTTGATCACACAAACAATGCTGATGTTTAGCACATGTATCTTTGCTCAAAGAGATAGCGTGCTGCCAATAGCTGCTAATTACAGCTGAGACTGATGGGGATTTGAATGGTTTTGTTGGAATACTGTCATCAACAAAAACTTCCAAAACATCACATACACACAGGATCTAAATCTGTGATGGCCATTGTTCATGGTTTATAAAGTTATAAAGTTCTCTCCATTGCTTGTAAACACAACTCAGAAAAAGTTTGTCAAGCCATTTTCAGACATGAACTCTTTACAGCATATAATCACCGGTGTCGGCCTGTATCACCAAAAGCTCTTGAATCTCCAAGTTAACGTATTTATCTGCGTTTTCTTTTTGTTTGTTTTATTTCAGTTTCGTTTGCGTCGCATGTTAGAAACTTCATCAACACACCCACTCACTCATGGTGAGTCCCCTAGATAATCCCCTGCTGTATTCCCACATGGGCTCACTACATTATCCAAAGTTTTTGCTGAGGGGGTGGCAGGAAAAACTCAGCAGAAAGTAGAGAGCCTCTGATTCTGTGATTAGCGTTCTCAAACAAAGCGCCTCTGAATAATCTTTGGAGTTCAGTGTATGTCTGAAAACAGCTTCCAAAGTCTGCACTGTCTCAAAAAACTAAACTAAAACCGAGTGAAAGCTACTTACACCCACGAGAGAAATGACAAATCAAGTTGATATACGGTTTAGGTAATAAGGGGATGATGCCATAGCATTACACTTGTTTCACAATTGAGGAAAAGAAAAGAACTCTGTCATTTTGCCCATTTTCCTCCAATTAGCAAGGAGAAAACAATATGTTGCCCTGAGGCATCTCCTCCCTTTGTCTTCATTTTCCATCTTCAAGGCTTTCACCCCTCTCTCCTCTCTCACAAACCTGTGTTCTATTATCAGAAATAACAGAACAAGAGTAAGGGCCGCTATTTCCCCTGACAAAAACAGACGATCAAATAACTACCGCTTGTCTTCCTCACAAGTTCATCCTGTGCTCTCATTGGCCACAGGGAAACCAGAGCCGTTGGCATTTCGGACCATTTAACAAACAAATGCCACCACACTTGGCTGTTCTTACTCTGCAGGGCCTCACGCACACTCACACCTCAGTCTGAAATGGCAACCTAAGTGAAACTTTTCCTACTTTTGGTGACAGTGTTCGCCTTTCTTTTGAGTGACAGTTTGATTGGAGGGCTCGTCTTTCAAGGAGTTTCTCTCTAGTCTATCCATTTCTATAATTGCTATAGAGAGGCCTAACGGGTTTATATTTCACCCCCTGAGCGCTGAACCAGAAGAGGGGGACAAAAGAACAATTCTCCGAGAGGTGCGGCACACACATTCGCAACACCGATTGGACCAAATAACTTGTCAATCAGTGAAGATGCCGTATGCTAGGCAGTGGGCGGCAAATGGCATCGAGGCTGGAGGTTTGGTGGTTTAGGTTTTGTGTAGCGTGGGCTGTGTGTGTGTGTGCGTGTGCGTGTGTTTGTGCATGTCTGTCTGTCTTGTTATGATGTAAAAAGACCCATTGGAGACAGATGGGTAGATTCATACGCAGTATAAATCAGATAATTACACACTTAACGTCTGCAGGGGTAAAGCGATCCCCACTGACTGGCACACTCATACACACACATAGGGGCTGGCCGTCCTCACAAGCACAATCCTGATCGTATTGAAATGTTGTATTTCAATGCTTCAGCCATAAATACATCAGGGGATCCAATATACAAAAGAACCTTCACATAAACAAACTCCCACATGTGTTCACCACACTAGAAATCAAATCAGTGCTTATCCACATACACGGCAGTGAGGAGGAAGTCCATCCTCCAACAAAAACATACATTCCAGCAACCATGCGACATGCTCACACGTACAAACAGCAGAGGAAATCCACAAACCCCCTAAAATACTGGGAAATCCCTCTCACAGAGGCGTAATAAAGTCGGGCTCTTTGCCCCGCAGCCACTCCTCTGGAGCAGCTGGATTATCGTAGCGCGGCGTTAACCGGGCCAGGCTAGCTGCTACCTGCTGAGCCATTCTTTGCCTTTTCCCACTTAGTCAATCAGGGCTAAATCCCTGCCGCTTCACTTGCTAACGCTAAGCTAAGGGCCTCTTTGATTGTAGCCTGCAGGGGTGCGTGAAGCCTCCGTTTTTCTTTTCTTCACAGTTGCAAAAGAAAAGAGGAGAGATTAGAGGAGGTGCTTTGTGTTATCTCTCTATATTTAAGACAATCTCTCAACGCCCAATCTCATCACTGGAGACAGAAGGACACCAGGATTTGTGGGTATTGTTTAAGAGGTTGTGACCGCTTCAGGTGACAAAACACGAAGTTGCTGTGAGGGTTTGTACATGTGCGCTGACCAGGAAAGTGTCCAGAGTTGAGAGTGGGGTCAAACTGTTGTTTGAGATGATGCCCCCATGCTAAAAGCTGGAGGGAGAGTTAATTGAGTCCCATGCTTCACAGCCTTTGGTCCTGAGCCTCTTTAAAGAGACGCAGTTTAAGCGCAGGCTACCTCAAACTGTGCACGCTTGATGAGTTTTTTGCTTGTCAATTATTAAGCTCTCCCAGGCTGACCTCAGAATCCCCACCAGCTGTCCCATATTTTTTTTGCACAACTTCACATCCCTGTTTGTCATCGACAGGCTTTGGCATCTTGATCTGTGGTGTTTTGAACTCTGCCTTTCAGAAATTGTGTTTGAAAATGTGATGTCAACATATGAGGGCTTGTTTATTGCAGCGACTGCCCTGCAGAGAGGAACAGTTGAGGGAAGAGAGAGGTCGATATCCAAGTAAAGCTGTAGAATTTGCTTCCTATTAGCAGCATGAGTGTGTGTGTGTGTGTGTGTGTGTGTGTGTGTGTGTGTGTGTGTGTGTGTGTGTGTAAGGGAAGAGACCGCAGTAGTGGGTGGTCCAAGAGACCGTGGTTTCACAGAGGAATCTCCCTTAAGACGTTCTGGATTTATCACTGTCCGAGTCAGCCGTGGCAAACCCACATGCATACACAAACACATACACACACAAACGAACACACAAGTATTTAGTTTTTATGGGATTTGAGCTGAGAAGCCCTCATCCTATCCTCTCATACAGCTCTCAAATACTAACCTTATTTTTCCACACCATCTTTTTTAAACCGCCTCCTTTTTCACCCCATCACTCTCCAGTGCTCCTATATTATTTTTACTCAGTCTCCTTCGCCCTCTATCTCTGTCTCCCACTCTCCTAGGCTTCCTCTCGGCAGGCCTCCTTTCAGACAGAGAGGGGTTTGTCAGGTGCCAAATCCCTGAGCCGAGAGATCAAAGGCAAACAAAGAGACTGGTGACTTACTGTTCTATTCTGGAAAGGCAAAAAAATGGAATCCCTCATAGACTGGGACATCGCATTCTTCCCCCTTTTCTCCCCTGGCAGCTCTTTCACTTATTCAATACTCTTCTCTGGCTTTAGTCCTTTTTCCCTTTGTCAGCCTTTCCCCCCGCCCCATCCACATCCCGGTTGTCTCTAAGCTAAAGCACGTTTTGGAGGAAAGAGGGCAACAAGGGTGGAGGGAGAGGATAGGGGGGAGTTAATGATTAGTTTTGTCCATTTGGGGGGGGGGGGCTCACTGAATTGAATGCTCCGCGTGAGCAGAGGGGAAAATCGGGAACTTCTGTTCAAGACAAAACCGTCGATGCAGCTTCTGCAAAAGAAAAAAAATAGGAGTGCACCAAAGCTAATGATACAATGATAGCTACCCACACGCCAGCCAGCAATAACCCAGCTAAGTTTTCCTCTGAGTGGTAACAACCTACACACCAGGCTTTGAACAGCTATGGATGCTCCCCACAACGCCGCCAAATAAATCCACATCTACCCACACACACATCCCCTACAGCCCACCTTGAGTGACCCGCTTCAGAAGCCTGATAGGCGAGCTATTCTGCAACCTACAAAACAAAGTATCCAATACACTGGGGATTTAAAGCATGAGAGCAAACTTGCGCTACAATAGCCATCCAAAAACCCCAGGAATATAACACCCAGCACACGGCACACAATAACTAGGCCGGCCCAGGCAGAACAATCACCTCTCTTGTAATCAAAAAAAGAGAATTAACTTCAAACTGTAGCATTTTCTCTCCTTTCAGGACCGTGCTTTATCTTCTTTGGGTGATGAAAACTCGGTCACTCTTTTTTAGTCATAACAGACAGTGAGCGCTCTTCAGAAGAGCAGTCAGAGGGATCTTCACAAAGCCGCTCTTTCAAAAAAACGAAGCGATCGGCTTTCAAGACCCGAGGGCAAGGAGAGTCTCTCCCTCTCCTGCACCTTGAGGAGCCAGCACTCTCTATTCAACTCACCTCTTTGCCATATCCCTCTGCCTTTGTGTCCATTCTCTCTTTTTTTCCCTGTGGAAAAGTTTGTTGCTCAGGTAAGACTCCTGCTGGAAAGGATTGCCATTCCATTGGTGCTGTGTTTACCTCTGGCTACCGTCCCCTGCTGGATTAAAAAGAGCTCTATACTGTCCATCCCCATGCAGACATACATGATAGAGACATTCAGATAATAAAAGACCCGACACATCAATACACCTGAGTCACTGGCACATTAACTGGGATAACTAGCGGCTGACCGTTAACATCTGTCACTAGAACAGCAGGAGAGTGGAGCAGGTTAGCTCATTAATTCCGTCACTGGGGGTTATTAATTACCTCCGGTCCTGACGGCGACGCACAGCCACACGGCCAGCGAAGCCCATCAGCGTGATGGATGAGAGACACACGGCCACCGAAACTGATCACCATGATTGATGACATACACTCTACACACATCTTGACCTTGACCTGGCAAGGGGAAAAGGTCCCATACTAGTGGGACCATCCTTTAAAATGCAAAACCAAAAAAGAGTGGGTCGTGA